TGAGGTGGCTGGGTTGCTGATGAGGAGTGACTGCTTTGCTTCAGGGTCTGACTGTGGCCAACACTTCCCAGCCAAAGTCAGGAATGCCACTTCTGCTGTCTGCATAGGTTGGCACACACCCAGGTGCTGTGCTTTGTTCACAGGAACATGATGTAAAGGAATATTTTGAGAATTCACTTTTGCATTCCTAGTGCCACACACACAGAAGGAATCCAGCCAGCAGAGGAAATAGATTGCCTAGCAGAAGCCACAGGGTGACCACCAGATTAGAGGAACGGGAACAGAGATCTACAAAGGAAAACAAAAAATTGACTCTCTATAGACATTTTTGGGATAAATCATACCAACTAAATATTGACTGATTAGTATTGCCTCGTGAACAATAGCTTCCTAAATGTATTTGCTACTACTGAACTGTACACTTAAAAATGGTAAAGATGGTAAATTATGTGTATTTTACCTCAAGAAAAACACTTTTTATAAAAAGACTAACTTCCTGAAACCCAGATCTTCAAAGTTGTTTTTTTTTTTTTTTTTTTAATATTATGGAGGAAGAATAGAGTATATACAGAGGAAAAAAAGATGTAACCGCCATGTCAAGGTTAAAAAATGGCACCCAAGAAAAAAAAGTGTCTCAGGGTAGTATCCCAGCAAAGCTAAAGATGAATAAAAAAAATTAGCTGGGCATGGTGCACACGCCTGTAGTCCACCTACTCAGGAGGCTGAGGTAGGAGGATTGCTGGAGCCCAGGAATTCGAGGTTACAAGGAGTTATGATCAGGTCACTGCATTCCAACCTGGGTGACAGAGCAAGATCAGAAAAAAAAAAAAAAAAGTAAAGAAGATACACAGGAAAGTAAATGAATATCTTGGCTATTCTGAGATGGGATGAAGAACTTTCTTGTTCTTTTATGTCCCTTCCAACTAAGGTGACCATATAATTTATCATTCCAAACTAATACTGTTTTTTTAATTCTGAAACAGAATCTCACTCTGTTGCCCTTGTTAGATTGCAGTGGCATCATTATAGCTCAATGCAACCTCAAACTCCTGGGCTCAAGCAATCCTCCTGCCTCAGCCTCTAGAGTAGTTGGGACTACAGGCACACACCATGACCCCTGGCTAATTTTTTCTATTTTTGTTAGAGACCGGGTCTCGCACTTGATGAGGCTGGTCTCAAACACTTGGCCTCAAGTAATCCTCCTGACTCAGCCTCCCAGAGTGCTAGGATTACAGGCATAAGCTACCGTGCCTGGCCACCAAATTAGTACATTTTGAGAATACAAGGAAACACTATTAATAATTACACCAGGAACATGGACTCTCTTGGGCAAATCAGGATACATAGTCCTATTTCTAAATATCTACCCATCCATCCATATTACCCCAGGCTTGCTTTGGAAATAGCAGACAATGCTATGAGCTTTGGGCACTAGAGGGATTTTTTTTTTTTTTTTTTTTTTGAGACAGAGTCTCGCTTTGTTGCCCAGGCTAGAGTGAGTGCCGTGGCGTCAGCCTAGCTCACAGCAACCTCAAACTCCTGGGCTCGAGTGATCCTTCTGCCTCAGCCTCCCGGGTAGCTGGGACTACAGGCATGCGCCACCATGCCCGGCTAATTTTTTATATATATATCAGTTGGCCAATTAATTTCTTTCTATTTTTATAGTAGAGACGGGGTCTCGCTCTTGCTCAGGCTGGTTTTGAACTCCTGACCTTGAGCAATCCGCCCGCCTCGGCCTCCCAAGAGCTAGGATTACAGGCGTGAGCCACAGCGCCCGGCCAAGAGGGATATTTTAATTGAGCCATGAGCTATCATCATAAGTAAACTATTTCCCCAAACAATTCTCCTAATGGAAATATTTTTATAGCAATAGAGAGATGAAGCCAACTTGACCTTATTTTAGGATGAGTTGTCCTTTTTAATATTTTGAACAACAAAGATGGGTCTTTAAAGATCAACCAAGGTTCAAATCTAACTTATTTAAAAATGTAAGAAAAACAGGGCTGGTCTTCAGTTACAGAATGAACAGAATGATAATATCAAGGCACTGCAGCCTGTTCTTTGAGCACTATACAGTATGGGACATTAATTTTCTTAAGAGACAAGGTCTTGTTCTGTCATCTAGGCTGGGGTGTAGTGGCCCAAACATAGCTCACAAACCTTGAGGCTGGATTCAAGTGATCCTTCTATCTTAGCCTCCTGAATGGGTGGGACTACAGGTGCACCCCACCACACCAGGATAATTTTTTTTTCTAAGAAAGGGGGTCTCACTATGTTGCCTAGGCTGGTCTTGGACTTCTGGCCACAAGTGATCCTCCTGCCTCCCAAAGGGTTTAGATTACAGGTGTGAGGCACTGCACCTGTCCTAAAACAGTATTTTAAAAAGTTATTTCACTGCATGTAATCCAGTTAACCCATGGGAAACTTCTATTCTTCCTCAGTGGAATCAATTTATATTAGTTACAAACGTAATTTTGTTAGTATACAAATTCTGTGAATAGTCAATTTATTAACAGCTGAGAACAGTGCTTCTCAAAGTGCAGTCCCTGGACCAACAACATCAACATCAATTGGGAACTTGTTAAAAATGCAAATTATCAGGCCCCAATCCAGAACTTCTGAACCAGAAACTTGGGAGGTGAGGCCCAGCAATCTGTGTTTTAATACGATTCTGACACATGCTAAAGTTTGAGAATCTCTGCCCTAGAGCTGCAAGGTCCAACATGGTAGCTACTAGCTTTATTTTCTATTAAAATTTAAAAAAATTAAAAATTTAGTTCCTGAATCACACTATCCACATTTCACATGCACAACAGTCACATGTGGCTAGTGACTATTGTATTGGACAGTGCAAATTATAGAACATTCCCGTCACCCCAGAAAGTTCTATTCAACACGTTCTGGTCTAGAGTATTAGGTCTTACCTGGAGTAAGGAAAGGACCCTGGTGTCACTAACATAGGCATGTCCCTTTATCTCCTGATTCTCAATTTGGCCCAAATGAAACAGGAAATAGTTAGCAGGAAATTAGTTAACAGGAAATAGCAGGAGAGCTAACTATTGTTTATTCACTGTTGGTACTAAAAATCTAACAAGCTATTAACACATTCATGACAGCTCACTAGTCTTTGCCATGTTTCAAGGGTGTCAACTTCATCAGTTCATAGCCCCTTGACCTGGTCTCCCTTTCTCTTCATTCCTGCACATTCTTCTCCTGTACTCCTAAGAATCTCACCCTTGAACCAGCTGGAGGTAATTCTCTTTATCTCAACTCTAACTGCTAATTGTCTGGATCCCTGCTCATCTCTTTGGCAATGAGATGATGTTAAATCTGCAATTAGATCTGGGGATGGTAACTCCATTAAAGCCATCTATTTGTGGACCAGTGGCCCTCTAGTTCTATTCAAAGCAATTTAATAAGAACAATAACAAAATAAATTCATCCTACCAGCTTCACATTCAAAGTAAAAGTTAACTAAGCATCTGTAACACTACATTTACTGTATACCATATCAAACAACCTAAATTATTTGTTATTTCAAATAATTCATTGTATTATTGATTACTATTGTAACTGCAGAAAACTCAGCTGATTCACTAGAGTACTGTGCAGAAAAAGACTTAACATAGCAGGCCTGAGACTACTATCCTTAGAAAGTTCTGCTTGCAAGGCTGCCTCTTACCTGGTATCTGGGGATTGGTTTCCTCAGAACTTTGCCCCATGAACCTTTTCCCTTTGCTGATTTTGATTTGCATCCTTTTGCTTTAACAAATCTTAGCCATGAGTAGGACAAGCAGGTGAGTCCTGTAAATCCTTCTAGTAAACCAACAAAGATGGGGGTGGGGGACCCCCAACTCAAGTACTAATCCTCTGCTCTAGTCCCGGGGGGGACAAAACCCCTAGGATTTTCGAAAGAAATGAAGTTAATCTTAGAGGTGGAGAAACTTTATCTTGAAACTGAATGTAGCCTTCTATTTTCAACCAGAGTAGGGAACACCCAAAGGGTGATGGAGTTCCATTTAAAAAATATTTCCAGTTGAGAAAACAAAACATTGCGTAAGATTTTTATTTTATTGTTCATGTTACAAAATGTTAAACTTCCATAAAATCTCATGGATCATTTAAGTCAAAGCTTTAATTGAGAATTTATGAATTCTGCTTTTATAACTCTTAGCAGTGGGTCATCAGACTCAGTCTGAACATCTTCAATTATGGGGAATGCATTCTTCTCCAGGCTGTCCTTTGCAGTCCCTTCCTAGTTCTAAAGGATTTAATTGGAATCTGTCTCCTTACAACTTTAATCTCTTGGTTCCAATTCTACTCTCCAGTGTCTTATGGAATGAGTATACTATAACATCCCTCAATGAAGACCCCCTTGTCTTTGCCAGCCTATGTCTTTCTATCTCACTTTGTTTGTGTGTATTTATGTCTCTTTATATCTTTCTCTTCTTTGTGATTCTGTCAATTCCTTTTTTGAGTATCTTTTCCAGTGTCTTTTCTTCACTTTCATTTCAGCTGGTTATGATACAACTAAAAAAAATACTTAATTGCTTTTTGTATTTAATGAGAATTTTGTTTACTGTTAATTTCCAAATGAATAGATGAAACATTCATTTTTTTGTGACCTTCAATGAATAATTTTGTGCAACTCAGAGGTTCTTCACACAGAAAGGCTCCTCACTCTTGCTCTTACTGAATATGAATGTCAAATTTACCTGCCTTAGATTACTAACAAGGGGGATGGAGGATTTTTCTATAAAACTCCTATCAAGAAGAGATGAATCGCAACTTGTAGAGCTCGCTTAAAGGGAATTTTCAACACCTTATAAGAAAATTCCCCTCTTTACTTTTCCCCCTTTATTCCAACCACAGGGAGTACTTACCCAGTGGTAGAGCTCGGGTCAGGTTAGTAGCTGGAGGATCTGTTTCTGGAGGACAGAGCTCACAGAAGTCCCAACATGATGGGCAGAGCAGGTTTCCATCATGAATCCAGCCATTCATCTGAATACTGACAGGGAGGACTTGCCCAGCTCGACTACACAAATATGAAGTATCTTGGACCCAAACCATCAGACCCTGAGGTGAACAAGAAACCTTCAAATAGAAAACAACAACAAAAAATCACGTAAGATTCTAGAATGTGAGATTTATCCTTCAACTGAAGGAAGTTGTGTTAAAATTTACTAAAACTATTGGCTATAAAACAATGTGGGATATGGGCTACCTTTAACCTCATATAAAGAGAGTTATTTAGGGTCTAAAAGAATTTCACTCTGTGGCAGTAGTTCTTAAAGTTTGAGTCTAGCACCTTTTTAAGAAATCTGATGGAAGCTACGGACACTTTTCCTGAAAAGAAAAAAAATACAAGGGAGCACACACAGTGCTTTAAATACAATCTGAATTCACAGATCCCTGAAGCACAGTTACAGAGAATACGTTTCTGTAAATTTCAGTATCTTCATATACTTCAGCTTAAATCTCTATCAAATAGCCATCAATCATGTCACTCTCTCCACAAGTCAGTAAAAAAAAATTTTTTTCAGGAGGAAAGGGGAATTTATTAATTTGCTGGCAAGTAAGGAGGTTGGCAGATTCCTGTCTCAAAAGTACCAACAACATTCTGTCTCTGAGCAGAAGTACAGAGCTTTTAAAGGTTCTGATTAATCCTATAATCCCATTTTTGGCTAAAACAATCTCCTGACCTCTGTCTGGATTCATGCTATCTTCAGCTAAGACAACCTCATGACCTCTGCCTAGGCCATTCCTCTAAGCCATCTCCTATGGCACAAAGAACAAAGGACACTCTCCTGTCCCTCCTCACTACTGGCCTGAGACAGGGATGTAGGTTTTAGTTCTCAAAAAGGGTGAGCGGGTTTTGAGGAGACAGGAAACATTTTTTACCTCTTTTCAAGCTATTCTCTCTGTTACATATTCCCCACTGTCAATTTTGCCCTTCCATATCTATGAGAGAAGGGATGATGTAGTCATTAAGCTACTTCCTGTTGAATTGGAGTGATGTTTTAGATGGAAGGTACAGATTATCAGGTGAAAAAGGACATAAGCAATAATTACAACTGTGAGGACTGACAAGGTGAAATGGACTGTTGCCTTGCACACAATGTCTAATACAGGGCTGGGTAAGAAAGAAACGGGATCTGTGAGTGCGGCGGAGCTATTAGTTGAATACTGTAGGAGATCCGAAAGATTGGCTTCTGTAAATTCAGAAATCATGTTCAGAAATACTTGTACCAAATGAGGTTTAGGAGAACACACCCATAAGACAGACACAGTAACAGAAAAGGCAAAAGCCTGGGGATATCCTCACTAAGGAGTTGTCTGTCCCTCTATCCTATAGATGGAACAAATAACCAAAGGAGGATTAATGAAAATAATATTTTCATTTTTTCTTTTTCTCATTCTGATACTTTAGATCACCTAAGGTGCCCCCCTCACTGGGTGCTACACCTCTTTACTTTGGTGTGATGGAACCAAGGTTTCACTTCTATTGATAACAATTATAACAAGGTGTGAGTTGTTAGAGGCACTTGATAGGGTCCCTTTCACTTTTCTGTTTCCAACTGAGGCAGGGACCTGAAAGAGGCAAACTCATGCATAGTGGTTGGCACATGACCCACTCATTTGACATACTGTTTTATTCTGTTTTCTTTTACTCATGTTATATTACCATACTTACCTTGGGATGCATTGAAGGGTCTCTCATAAACTATTTTTTTAGGGGCTTAACTTAAGCCTGCTTCTAAAGGGCTACCCTTATCCAGAGGAGGGGAAGTGGCAATGCCTTATCCAATTTTAGGTGGGTTCCATGTGGTTTTCATTCTAGATGTAGGGCTTTGTTTACTTGCTGGGTTACCTCCACTACAAAGGAGGGTCCATTATTGCTCTGTTCAAAGGAGCCTATGAACATTCTGATGACCTGTGGGATCACTGAGTCCACCAGGTCCAGCTTTTTGGAGAAACGGTTCACCAGGTTCCCACTTGGGGGCCACTCAAAGATGTTTATGGGTGACCAGAAGGCATTGTGCAGTAGATACAGGTGTATCCTGTACACGTGCAGGATCTCGATGAAGGCCCTGTCAGCTCCTGGTAGGAGCCCATCTCGGTGTGAGTTCCTCCAGAAGGACTCCAGTAACCTCAGACACTCCTTTCTTTCCTCCAGGTAGGACAAGCCTCTACCCAGCCTGAAAAGGTATCTACCAATACAAGCCTAATATTGAGGATCTGAGTAAAACTGCCAGCCTCCACAAGGGTGGATCCCCACATGTTGGGCTCCCTGTGCAGTGGGTCACCTTTCTGTCCTTGGACCGCCCCCAGTACATAAACAGTTAGTTGTAAATGGGGTCCTCTCAAATGAGGTCCCACCAAATCCATCAAGGCATTACACTCCCAATGTGTGTATTTATGTAGGTGCCTCATAAGAGGCTGAACCAAAGCTTTGGGTAGGAGACAAGTCTATGAGAATTTTGTTTCCATTTAGTTGTGCTATCCCAAATGTCAGAGACCCAGTCTAGTTTTAAAGGGGATCCAAATCTAGCCAGAGTATGAAGGCCCCGAGGAACAGATCACCTCCAGCAACCTCCTTAGCAGTTCTGCCAGTGGCCTGATTTCTTTTTGTCATGCTGGCCACCCGTTTGGGCTCAGCCACGGCCTATATTAGGGCCATTATTTTGGTGGCATACATAATATCTTTACTCACTTTTGGTAGCTTTCTTCTTGCCAATGCTGTAATGATGCGTAGGCTTGCTGAGGCCCAAACTTCCTGTACATTTCAACAGGCCCTGATATTCATCCAGCAGGAGCTTGGTGGTGCCACCCTGGAGGTGACCTTCTGCTTCTTCTGAAACAACTCCTGGTGCTCCTGCTGCTTATGCAGGTCTGCCTCCTGGGCCCGCTGTGACAAATTTACTAGCTGTCGCTTGTCTATGGCTGCCCTATTGCTATCTGGCCCCTCAACTATTCCTTGTCTGGCTCACAGAGCACCAGGCACAGCTAGTGCCATCAACGATTGGGGTGGTGGCCAGGGCAAGGGGTGCCCAAACAGCTTCTGTCCATGCAGCTAGTGCCAGTCAAATCCCCATTGTCAATTTTGCCCAGGGCTCCTGTGGGGATATTTGGAGGCAGGGGGCTCTGGGCTCCCTCCTTTGCCTTCTGAGTCCTGGACTTAAGAAAACTACTTTCTCTCCTGGAGGCTTCCTGCCCCCCCCCTTTTTTTTTTTTTGCAATTTTGGGCCATGTTCCTTTCAAGGTCCTTCTTTACAAAAAGTGAGTCTAGGGTGGCTTTTTCACCCTTTCCTTTTGACTGTCTCAAAGGACCTTGCTGGCTATTCTTGCATACTCAAGCCCTCTAACCTGATATTGCCATAAATGATCCTGCTACAGCTAGGGGTTCCCTTTGGCTCAAATTGAGTTTGTGCCAGAAGAGGCCATTCCAATTCCTGAGTCATAATTTACTGGGCATTGGACTGAAGAGTTAGTCCAGCCAGTGCCCTCCCTGGCCCTTCCCATGGTGCCAAGATGGTGGTAGCATCAGGTGTTCCTTGCCCTTTGCTGTGTGCTGCTCAGCAGCAGGCCACATGCACTGGTTCTCTCTCCTGCCAGGTCTGCCCCCAGGCTGTGGCCCTACCCAGCACCTCACCCTGGCCAGCTGTGGGGGTTCTGGCAGGAGGATCTCCTTTATCAAAAAATCATACAAACAGATCATTTTGTCTGCCATAAACAATGAATTTATCTCAAGCAGAGAGCTTGAGGATGCAACACTTTTACTCTATAGTGGCTGGTTGACCATTAGAGTTCTGCATTTTAAAAGAACCAATAGCTCAGAATAAGACATGGACCATCAACCATCACTTTTCCTTGCACTCCAGACAAATGGTATCACAATAATCTTTAGACATAGGTACAAACACTCACCAGACAAAAACTCACAAACAATATAGGGAATTCCCAACACAAATACTCTAAAATGCCATGGCCTATCAATCAAATAGGAATTTTTCATTTAACAGCCACTTCTCAAACTCCAGCACATACACTGGATTACAATAACATCATTCTCTTTACATATAGGTTCATAGCTAGAAGTTAACCATTCAGCCAATGTTCTTCCCAAGGGTCTTTCTTTGAGATGGAGCTTCCATATGTTGCAACAAAACTCACAATAACAGACAATACAGGGCATACAAAAATACCAGGGCCTAACAAGCGAATGGGAATCCAAAGGGGGCAAATGCCACCTGAAATAGCACCTCCAAACAATGTCTCAAATGCCCTACCCACAGGGCTAGAAGGTTCACAAATGGGAATCCAAATGGAATAAACGCCACCCCAAACAGCTAGAAGGTTCAAAACCTCCCGAAATGGGTGGCCTAATGCCCGTTCCCTGGGAAACCCTCCCCAAATGGTGGCCTAGACCCCCTGTTCCCTGGGAACTACAAATAAGCTCCCAATTTAAACGAGGTTCCCTAGTTCCACTCAACTTCATGACTTCCACCCCCAAAAGGTATCTCAAAACAAATGCCCTGCTGCAGAAAGGTTCAAAACCCTCCCAGAATGGGTGGAATCTGGGTCTTGGAGTACATGCAGGGGAACTTACCCAACAAATGGCCTAGCATCTGGACATTTTCCAAATCCATTTCCTTCTCCTCAACTCAGTTCAGGTTGCAGGGAGCTGCGTCTACTTTGAGGAGACAGAGATGGGAGTTCCCCAGAGCCAAAACAGGTTGGGGCTATCCCTTGCTCTCTCACCTCAAAAATAAGTTCCTCCTACCCATGAAGACCCACAGTTTTGACCCAGGGCTGCTCCTTGCCTCTTCCAGCAGTCTCATGGTGCCATTCCACAGGGGCGCTGGTGGGCCTACCCAGGGATGCCAATACTGTTTCCAAAAGTTCGGTACTTGTCCCTGAGGCTACATAAGAATGAGGACAAGTGGTTTGAGGAGAAGGAAAGAGGCATTTATTAATTTTCTGGCAAATGAAGAGTTTGGTAGACTCCTGTCTCAAAGTACCAACTTCCTCCACTAGTCTCTAAACTTTTTAAGTTAAATTTTTAGTATGTGTGGCTGGGTGCTGTGGCTCATGCCTATAATCCTAGCACTCTGGGAGGCTGAGGCGGGAGGATGGCTTGAACTCAAGAATTCAAGACCAGCCTGAGCAAGAGCGAGACCCCATCTCTGCTATAAATAGAAAGACATTAGCAAAACAACTAAAGATAGAAAAAATTAGCTGGGTACGGTGGCACATGCCTGTAGTCCCAGCTACTCGGGAGGCTGAGGCAGAAGGATAGCTTGAGCCCAGGAGTCTGAGGTTGCTGTGAGCTAGGCTGATGCCACAGCACTCTAGCCTGGGCAACAGAGTGAGACTCTGTCTCAAAAATAAAAACAAAAAAATTATATTATGTGTTTGAATTATAAAAAAATATATGCTCACTGTAAACAAACAAAAAGAATATAGCATAGAAATGTACATAGTAACCTCATTCCTTTTCCCTCCTTAGATTCTCTGCTTAGAGAAAAAAATGTTCACAGTGATTTTATCTGGACTAGTCACATCTATAACAGCAAGACTCATAGCTCAACTGCAAGGGATAATTAACGAAATCAATTTTTAAAAGCAAACACATTAAAGCTAACTTTTAAAACATTTAAAAATTATTATGTCTTCTTCAAAGTTGTTTTCTACAAAAACATTAATTTCAATTATGCTACTTCATTTTAAATATTTCTGGAACTTCTCTCTTAGAACTACATTCAAAGTCAGTGCATGCTTCTAATATGTCTGATAGTAGCAAATTTTTACTTTGCAAGTAGACATAATTTCTGGAAATAGCCAAAAGTTGCCCAGAACCAGGTCTGGTAAAGGTAGTTGACTAAACTGTTTAACACAAAGTTAATATAAGTGTGATAAAAAATTATTAAGATTGATTCTCTTAGACAGCTATTAAACTACTTCTAAAAGCAATTTGAAAGGAAGAGTTCAAAAAGTATATAGAACAATGGAGTCATTTTTGAAACAACTCTATCATCAGTTAAGTTGAAATATAACATGTTTAAAAATTTAACATATAATAAGCTACCATGAAAAAAACAACAAACTCTGGCTTCTTCCATAAGTCTGTTATTCAATGATCCACATCTAATAAGTATCACCATAGTTACAATGCAATGTAATCATTCTTTTACGTAAGACTTGACTGAGTACTGTTGCTTGGTGCTGAAAAGACCAATGAAGTCCAATGAAGTCCATAGTGCCTGCCCTAAGGTAGCTTTAATTGAGAAAAGAGGGTGAAATATAAATATTTTTTTCTAAAAAATTAACAATACCAGATTGTTTTATGATTAAGAGTCAATAAATGGGCTGGGCACAGTGGCTCATGCCTGTAATTCTAGCATTCTGGAAGGCTGAGGCAGGAGAATGGCTAGAGGTCAGGAGTTCAAGACCAGCCTGCACAAGAGTAAGGCCTTGTCTCTACTAGAAATAGAAAAAAATTAGCCAGGAGTGGTGGCACACACCTGTAGTCCCAGCTACTCAGGAGGCTGAGGCAGGAGGATTGGTTGAGCCCAGGAGTTTAAGGTTGCTGTGAGCTAGGCTGACACTAGGGCACTCTAGCCTGGGTGACAGTGTGACTCTGTCTCAAAAAAAAAAAAAAAAAAGAGCCAATAAATGGTAGAAACAAGGATATTAAATATTAGAAAGTTTCATAGAAAAAAGAACATTTATATCCTAAAGATGTACACAGGATTTGGATATAATAAGGTAGATGTTGTAGGTTGGGAAATAGAATACACGTGGCTTAGAGACAAGCATTATATGAGAGTGTTGCTAGCATAAGAGAAAAACTTCCTTTATTAAGTTTAATTACTCCCATTGTGGAGTTCTGGGAATTAACTGTGGGTAAGTAGAGGAAATGTACAAGTAGTAGCAGATGTAACAGACTCAAGAAAGCTGAATCAAAATTCAACCAAGCAACCTGATTTATGCTACAGAACACAAGGCAGGCTCAGGAATTGCTGGCACGAGCTAGAAGGATTAATGTCTATTTAAGAAACTGACCCACTTGAAGCTCTGACTCTCGGGCGGGGCGTGGGGGGAGGCAAGGGCAATGTATGTAACCTTAATGTTTGTACCCCCATAATATGCTGGAAAAAAAAATACTGACCCTAAGGCTGAGTGCAGTGGCTTACACTTGTAATCCCAGCACTTTGGGAGGCGGAAGGATTACTTGAGCCCAGGAGTTTGAGACTAGCCTAGGCAACATAGTGAGATCCTGTCTCTACAAAAAATATTAGGGGGCACGGTGGTGCATATCTGTAGTCCCAGCTACTTGGAAGACTGAAGCAGGAGGATTGCCTGGGCCCAGGAGTTTGAGGATACAGTGAGCTATGACCACACCATTGCACTAGAGCCTGGGCAACAGAGCCAGACCTTGACTCTTAAAAAATAACAACAACAACAACAACAACAAAACATATCCCAGGATTCCTCTTCCTTGCTATAAGTACCTGGGCCACTGTTATGTCCTAACCTAGCATACTGGAGTTTGGGGTTTTTTTTTGTAAAGGAGAAATCAGAAGATTTCTGCTCTGGGGGAAGCCAAGTACAGGTGAGAACTGGGATGCCATTCTGAATATAAGGACTCTAAGTAAAAAGTTTACATATTAAATCTTGAGACCCTTTAGCATTCAAACCCACTTATTTCCCAGAACTCTGACAGCTATTTATACTAATTTAAGACAGGATATTGCAAGTTTCTCTGAGAAATGTGACCAGCCAAAAGGAAAACCCCTCAAGATACAAATACCAAAGGTTTTATAAGGAGAGAGCCCTATGAGGAGGACCATGGTCAACAGGCCCTATGTACATGCTCAGAGCTTCCAAATTAGCTTCCAGTCACTTCTTAAATATGAACAGGCTGTTAAAGATCACCAAAAATATACCCAACCCATTAAATTTCAGAGTACTGGGAGTGTGGAGGGTGTATGAGGAGTTAAAAAAGAATTTATCAGCTTCCAGAGAGGAAAGAAGAAAGATTCTTACAATCAAAACTCAGAATGAGGCCGGGCGCGGTGGCTCACGCCTGTAATCCTAGCTCTTGGGAGGCCGAGGCGGGCGGATTGCTCAAGGTCAGGAGTTCAAAACCAGCCTGAGCAAGAGCGAGACCCCGTCTCTACTATAAATAGAAAGAAATTAATTGGCCAACTGATATATATATAAAAAATTAGCCGGGCATGGTGGCGCATGCCTGTAGTCCCAGCTACTTGGGAGGCTGAGGCAGAAGGATCGCTGGAGCCCAGGAGTTTGAGGTTGCTGTGAGCTAGGCTGACACCACGGCACTCACTCTAGCCTGGGCAACAAGTGAGACTCTGTCTCAAAAAAAAAAAAAAAAAAAAAAAAAACTCAGAATGACATTGAGAGCTAGAATACAAAGGAAAAATGCTTTCAAAATTCTGTTGGAAAACAATTTTCAAAAAGAAAGCTATGTTGTTCCTGATAATGTGGCCAAAACAATAAAAATAAAATAAAATAAAATAAATTGAAAAAAAGAGAGCTATACTTAGCCAAACTACTGAAGGACGGCAGAAGATGTCAACCCAAAATACGTCATTTTGGCATAAGGGTTAAGTAGAGCTAAAGGCACTTAAAAAAACAGCAGATATAAGATGAGTATTCTTACCTCCCCGTTTCTTCCTAAAAGCAGGAGATAAAATTCCCACATGAAAGACTTCCTCCCTTTTCCAGGAGAAAAGAAACATTCTTACCACTAGACACCAGAGTCAAAGCTAAGAGAATTCTGTACAAATAGACCTTGTTAAAATAATTATCTTCCTTTCTTTAGCTTCCCCATATACTTTACTTTTCCATAATTGCCTCCCTTTGTTAAATCTAATATAAAAGCATATAGGTTTTACCATTTCTTCAGGTCTTCATTTCCTTATGAGAGCTCCTGTGCTACATAAAACTTATATTAAATAAATTTGCATTCTCTTCTCCTGTTAATCTGTTTTTTTTTTTTTTTTTTTTTTTGAGACAGAGTCTCACTTTATTGCCCAGGCTAGAGTGAGTGCCGTGGCGTCAGTCTAGCTCACAGCAACCTCAAACTCCTGGCTCAAGCAATCCTCCTGCCTCAGCCTCCCAAGTAGCTGGGACTACAGGCATTCGCCACCATGCCCGGCTAATTTTTTGTATATATATATTAGTTGGCCAATTAATTTCTTTCTATTTATAGTAGAGACGGGTCTTGCTCTTGCTCAGGCTGGTTTTGAACTCCTGACCTCGAGCAATCCGCCCGCCTCGGCCTCCCAGAGAGCTAGGATTACAGGCGTGTGTTAATCTGTTTTATGCCAATTTAATTCTCAGGCTGAAGACCCCCAGAGAGAGCAGGTAAAGTTTTGTCTTCCCTACAATATCATGGTATAATGGTAGAACAGAGTGATGTTTTCAGACATGCAAGGTCTCAAAAATTTTCTATCACATACTCCTCAAAAATAAACTAAACGATATATTCCATTAAAATGAAAAAAAGAACAACAAAAAAGACAAAATCCATGAACTAGGGGATCTAACACAAGAGAGAGGCAAAGGAATCTCTAGGATGATCATAACTAGAGATGCCAAGATCACAGATGGATTGTAATTCTAAAGATTATCTAGTCCAGATTAATGCAGGTCAGAAATTTTCAGAAGAGGTTTTTCTCGAGATGAAATTGATAAAGTATCTCAAGTATCTGGTTATATTGAAAGGAAAGGAGCCCAACTGGAAGAGTTTAAAATTAAATTAGTAGTAAATACAAAGAAAACTAATTGAATGAAAAAACAAAATAATAATTATTAAATCCAGAGAAAACCAAAAAGTTGGGAGGAATTAGAGAATTAATCATTGCATACCACATGGCTCACCATTTACATAGTC